CCTGCAGTTGGGAAGCGTGAGGCTGGTCACACGGGTCAGCACCAGGGGAGCTAAACGGATCCGCTTTCCAACTCCAGGACAGTCCAGCGCGATTGCACGTTAGAAGCAGAGCCGGAACAGCTGAATTCAGACCTTGAGTAATTTCTCTGAAAGCAACAAATAAAGTAGCCTCATCTGGGCCTGATCTCAGCACAAAGGCACTCCGAGTTGTGAGGAATGGAAAGATGGTTAAAAATGATTTCCTTTCGAATAGCTCCGTTCAGGTTTGTCCAGGCTTCGATCGTCCGCAGAGGAATAGCGATCTCATGCATACCAGAACCCAGGAAGTGGAACAAAGTCTCTTTTGGACAAACATCAATAACTTGCCCGTTTCTTATTGTGCAGTCTGAGTAAAAGTAGGGAAGGCCAAGAATAAGACAGATTTTTCAGTGTAGCCATGCAAGCAATATTTTCAATGTCTGATAAGCTTTAGCCATTTCTTTCTCTTACCTGACAAGTTCTGTCAATGGGAATGAGTCTTCCTCCCACGTCTTTTTCTTAAGCCACCTCCCCACATAACTATATTACATAAGATACAAATGTGGATAAGTTACAAAAACAGGGTCTATCCAGTCTCTTCTAGGTCGTAGCAGAGAGAAATTCTCTACGCTCAAAGGCTGCAAGAAAGGTAGAAGAGAGATTACTTTCTCTTAGAAGACTATGCGAGAGCAGAAAATGCACCATAGCAGGTGAAGGAGTAGAAAGACCTCCCTTCATTCTTTTAATTATTAGTCAAGATACTAAAGACTTATGATTTTAGTGCACTAGCTACCAGATTTTAATGGAGGGTGGATGTTGGCTCAGAAACAATTCAATGCAAACAGGAGATGGCACACGGACGCTTATAGAAGAAGAAACATTTACTGTGAGTAAATAAATGATAATAAACCACGGGTCCAAAAGACGCCCAACGTCACCTGCCCTCTAAGCCACAAGCAAAACACAGCAGCAGAAGCAGACACCGTTTTCCACTGAGCTACCACCACAAAACGCCCAGGCTGAGCACCGCCCGGGGGCGGGGCCGCCGCGGCCCGCCCGTCCCACCAGCAGCGCCGCCGCGGGGGGGAACGCGCGACGCGGCTCTGGGAAGGCAAGGCGG